CGTGCGTGCGTGTACACCTACGTACAGTAGACTACACAAAACACAAATTACGATACTGCATTTTAATGGAATATTGTCATTATCAAATTTACGTGCTACGAAACAGGTATCCACTATCACTGATTCGAGGGTTTACTGTAAATGTATTATTATTATTAGTATCATCATCATCATCATCATCATTTATCATCATCATTATAGACGAATATAGTTGATACAGCACACTAACTGAAAGAATGTCCATATTTTAAAGCCTAGCAGTTCTCATCAAAACGCGCAACGGGTCCGGCAGAGTCCACTAAATTGGAAGATTGTAGTGTGTGTTGGGTTATAAAAGGGCTTTAGTTACAGTGTGACACCCTTCCTCCCACACTGCAGTTTCAACCACTGCATCGCTAGTTCCTGTCATGCTTCTTACTTCTTCTCATGCACAAACTAGTGGCCAGGTCTGAAAACGCGGCACGTATGTTAATAATAGGTATAGGTCTACNTACAATTTGAATTAATATTAAAAATCGGCTCAATTTTATGTGCTTACGGAGGGCGCCAGAAAAATATACCACGGGGGCCATGGCGCCCGCGGGCGCCGCGTTGAACAGGGCTGATCTACATGAACTGGGTATATTTAGTGTAGAACGCCACGCAATTCAGTGCAAGAAAACTGGTCACGACACATGTTTATCTTTTTTTTTTTTTCATACTTCAAATTCTCTGTGTCTCCTCCCCTTTTTACCTATAATAATTACTGAGTCTGGAATTTACTTGACACTGTTACAGACACCTGTGAAATGTGCATCCCATTTAATAAGCATGAACACTCAATCGTTAATAAATCATCGTTGCTTGTTTAAACTATCGTTTCTACATACTTACTGCCTCATTACAGTTGCATTGCTTTTCAATATCTGCGTGTAGTTAATGGATCTTGAGCTTTAAAGCAATAATGTACATTTTTATAACCTTATAGAACTTCATAAAATTAAATGAACTCCAAACAAATAGTAAAATGAAGAAGTACGATTATAGCATATGTTTTGTTCCAAACATCGAATTAGTGTCAGCTCCATATGCAGATACAAAAGATAAGTTACTTTCTCAAGAAAGATATTGTTCATTCTCTTTCTTATAATTCTTAGTCTTAGTAGTCAGTTGTGCTATAACCATATTTTTATATGTAAATATGAATTTGAAGTTTCTTCGAAATTACAGCTTCTTCTGGGCTGTAACGCCGTGTAGATCGGAGAGAACAATACGTTTCGAAGGAAAATATAGCCTCCATCTTCACTGTCGAAGAGACAGCCAAACAATAAACCAGCAGAAGCAGGGAGAGTTCCTCTGAAACTTCGGCCTCTCTCCGAACTACACGACTTTACAATCGAGAAGGTCGGAGTTTTTGTATATAAATGTTTTTTTTTATTTCTTTCGAACACAAAGAACTGCACATTATTTGTGCCGGTTTTAACTTTATTTCCATCATTTTTCGTATATGGTAGCAGAAGTACCAAGCACATATTTCGTTTAAAGTTATCTGTATGTCACAAACGAATTTAAAGAAGAAAGGTCTAGGACAGTGTTTCAAAATTCTAGTGTGGAATTATTAGAGAAGTAGTTATATAAGAATCTAAGGCTACATTTTAACACTAAGTTTATCATTTATTTTAAATTAATTTAATTTGATATAATAATTATCTAACATCGTAGCCAAGGAAACACCACTCTTACTTCTAGACCGACTGCCCTGAAAGTTTTCGATATTTTCCTCACTTCTTCCAGGCAAATGCTGCTATAATACTTTAACTCAGGTCAAGTCAGCTTCTGTATACATTATTTCCAATTCATTGAGCATTAGCCATCCTACTGCTTAACGCTATATATCCTGCGTTATTGAATGCATCATTAATTTAACCATAAATAAGAGAAGAATTCTTTTTCCACTTTTTACGTCTGTATGTCTCAAGTGTACTTGTATCCTCATGTCCTTAATACTTGACTAAATTATAACTGCCTGTTTAATAAGTTCTAATGCAATTTGGCAATTTATTTACTTTATAAACGGCCTTAGAATGGGCTGATTCTTCTTTCAAGGAGTCCTACTTGCTGTCTATATGATTAAGAAACTGAGAAACAGAGGCCAAGTTTCATCATGGATTCTAACACACACAGAATAGTAGTAATATTTACTTTACGAAGAGTTCTAGCTTTTAGTACGTTCTGCTATGTAATCTGTTCAGAGTCAACCAGATTGTTGTTTTATATGAGTGTAAAACTCACTCTTTCTTATTAAAAGAAGAATATATATTGAGGGTGAATGAGAGCAGGTCTGTGAGGAGAATATTTGGACCTAAGAGGGAGGAAGTGACAGGAGGCTGCAAACAAATTCAGAATAATGAACTTCACAGTTTGTACATTTCACAAAATATTGTAATGTGCTTAGAATAATTAAACCAAAGAGGATTAAGTGGGAAGAAAATGTAGCACACATGGCAAAGATGAGAAATGCATATGGCATTTTAGTCAGAAAATCTAAATGACAGAGATGAGTTGCAAGATTATTAAGATGAATGAATGAATGTATGAGGGGTAGGCCTTCTCGGCCCTTACGCCGCGACCTACAGTGGTCTATTGTGCTTTCTTCAGATGGATCCTAACAAAACAGAGTTAGAGGATGTGGACTGGATTCATTTGAACTTGAACAGGGACCAGTGAATTGGTCCTGTGAACAAATTAATGAACTTTTGCATTGCATAAAGAGCAGGAAATTTCGTACATACCAGTAGCTCAAAAACTGGCACTTCTCAAGAAGCACTTTGTTCCATGCAACAAGTTAACTAAAGAGCACGTAAAAATGACATCAACAAACCCACAAAAATAATAACATATTCTGACTCTATATATGACAAAATATCAGTTTGTTGGATTAGATGCCCTCACAGCAATGGCTACGAATGGTAATATATCTTGGATAAAACACTGTTTAGTCCAGTAGAAGCCCACCAAAATTTCTGAGGAGCATTTGTTTCTATCTGTAGTTACTTCCTGGCAACTTCTTGCTGGTTTCTTACTTGGCATACTCTTCAACCTGGAAGATATAAGCAGTATGTTCCTCCAAAATGTCGGTAGACTTCCACCAGACTACACGGTATTATATTCCATAAGACAGTACTCTTCGAATATCAGTTTGTTGTAAGTTCAGAATATAGGTAACTTACTGGAATTTGTCCAACAAAGAAATATTTGTTTTTATTCCTTTTTCCTGATGAGTTAATAATTGGAGAGAGCACCATGATCAGTTACTATTAAAAGTTAAACCAGTGTACAGTGTTTTAATATGTCCTATTGAAGAGAATTTTTTTTGTTTTTATTCGTTTTTTTCTGAATAACAGTTTAGTTGAGGCAGATGATGACAGACACTTAAACAGTATACATGGATACTGTATACTCCGATGCAGGGTGTGTCAAATCATGAGTCAGCTCCATAGCATTCACATTTGTTCTGTGACTCAGTCATATAAACATATGTATCCTGCCACACTGAAATTCCTGCTACACCTCCTTATAATTTTGCAGGCTTGTTTTATAAATTTTAATTACCAGTGAAATATTGAGATGAAGTGTTTAAATGTTGTTGACACTTTAAGTGAAGTACATTGCACCTGCTATAATCAGCAGTTACTGTGTCATCTAAGGAGGTGATTATTGATATGTTCCATCTACTGTGGGGGTGTGTCATTCTCAGTTATTGATATGCAACGCTATATCATCATTAGAAGACTACAAGATTTTAATTTCAACATACTTCCATTGTTCTTATGCTTATGGGAAAGTCAGACATACTTACACAGAACTTTTCTTCCTTAAGGTTTTCTACAGAATGTATGAAGAACCCTCATTCATAAAGCAGAAGAACTTAGTCATTATCCTGGTCATTAGTCCATCAGTTAATAGTAAAATAACGTTTATAAGTTAACTGTCTGTAGGAGTTTTCCACTTAGAGGCCTGCTTGTATAGTTTAGCCAATACTGTGGAGAAAATGATCCTTCCTGGTGGTTCCTCCTAGAGGCAGAAATTTCATTCGTCTGATATAGAAACACAAAATACATGTTATCAAGAAGTTGATTCATCTTGATAAGGGCTGATAGCTTGATTCAGATTTTTTAAGTAATTTGTTTTGTACATGCAACACTAATTCTTGTCTCATATATATCTCTTTACAACACATTTCAGTCATACATGCCCATCATCAGATACACATCAATTTTTCCAAAATTCTTTCACAGTATGTGTTATTTCTTCAGTACCAATATGTGGGTTTTACACCCAGAGCTCATTCTCATAAAGGAACAATCCAAAATGGAATCTTGACAGCTCATTACTATCTAGTGCTGAACTGTAGGATATATAGAACTTCCTCTCCCAAGGTCAAGATTGGTGGAGGTACACCTTCACTCCCACATATGCCTTCATGGCATAGAGCTAAACTAATTAAGCACAGGGATAAATTTATTTTTACCTCCTGTCCCCTTATAGGCCTTCATGACGTGGTGCTTAGGCATACATGAACTTAGTCTTACTTTAATTTCTACTTCCTGTTCCCAACCTCAACTTTCCAGCTCCCTAAATTGAGTTATTTATAAATTCTAAGGTTTTCTAATAGTGGTATATTAGGATTGATGGGTTTCTGGTCTGTATCCATCTTATAGTATTCTGAATAGCACAAAATGTTTTGAGAACTGCAACTATTACCATCCTCACAAGAAAACGGGGGGAGACAACTACTTAGTCTGATCTTTTAGAAACAGTTAATCTTAACAATTGATCCAGTAATTATAAGTATCACTTATTATTGTTAGAGAGATTTATTTGCTATGATGTGCCATATCAGGGAAAATGGATTTTTGGTGGATTATGCCTAATTTTTACAATGTCTATAATTCTTTTTCTTTATTTATTTTCTTATATGTACAGATTTAATCAGAATGGGTTGGAATTATTTCTTACAGCTAACAATGTGTGTTCGAGTGTATGACATCCTAATTGTGATACTCATATTTATACCATCGACACTTCTGCACGAAAGTAGGATATCAAGCCGTCACTATCCAACAGATGATGTCCCTACATTCCAGAGGGATTCTGTTGAATGGATCCCATCCTATGAGAAACCTAATCAGCGAAGCTCACAACGTTCCTCCCTCATGGATTATGTGTTTGGAACACTATCTCTTCCTCTCAGAGCAGCTGTTGAAAGTATACCAAAACATACTGCAAGTTACAGGTTAGTAATTCAGTAGCAGTAAGTCATTGTTGAAATGATAATTTCCCTTCAGGCACTTTTTAATACCAAGAGATATAGTAAATAAAGATCATGTAGTTTATAATATGAATATGGTTTTTCCTTCCATACAAACTGATGCTTAGCTTGCAAGCAGTCATGAAATAAATGGAGAATAAATAGATGTCACTACAATAGATTTCATTGCCTACATGCAAAACGTACATAAGCACAGTGTTTAGACTACTATTCAGAGTGCGGTTCTATATTGCCTCAGATGTGCTTAAATATAATATGTATTCCATGTTCTATATTTTTAGAGATTGTATTTTTTGTCACTTTTTGTAAGGATTGTTGCTTGTAGAAAATTCTAAGTTTCCGAATGAATAACAGATTACACTGCAAGCCACTATATGATTTTGGTTTTCTTTTTGTAGACATTTCTGCCAAATATTTTTACTATTCAGTCCAAAATATTTCAGAGTTAAACAACTTTTTACATAGGTCTAGATAATAGTTTGTGTGAAGAAAGGTGATAGGTACGTCTATTAGATAATGGTGTATTTGTGCTTAATATGTCATGAGTTGTTTACTAGGTGGAGAAATATTTCTTTATTTACATATTTATGGTTTATTTAACAAAGCTGTCAGTATGTCAGAGTGCATAATGTCAAATCATAAAATAATTTATTAATGATGAACTATAAAGGATATGGAAGGTATCAGTTGTGTCCTAATCTTAGATGTCATCCTAATATTTTTCTGGAGGGACTGAAGAAAATAATAAAAATTCTTGGTCTGAATAGCCAGGCTGTGGGTCAAAATTAAATATGGGGCCTCTGAAATATGAAGCAGGATTGTTAACTTCTCAACCACAATATTTGGCAGCTTAATTACCAGGTTAGTCCTTCATAAATAGATTAAAAAGAAGTAGGCAAGCTACTACATTTTTAGTGTGATAAAGTAATAAATTTATACAGAGTACCGTTAGTATGTTATATAAACACCCTCACATTTTATAACATGTAAAACATTAAAAAAGAACTGTAAAAGACCTATGTGTTAGAAGATATGTTTTCGTAATATTACTAAAAGAAAGAAATACCAGTAGGTTTATGTGTTTATTTCAAAGCAGCACCTTCTTTTACAAAGCCTTTCCACAATGTTTACCCTTTAAATTGCAGAATACCTTGTGTAAAATTGTAGCATGAGCATACTCCTCTATAAAGGACTACAGACCTAATGGCACTAATGTTCTTTTACAACTGATATAATATGAATATGATACCAACTTCTAGCATAGCTCAATCTGCTGGTATCAGCAACAATCACCTAAAGCAGGAATTTAAAAATTAACTGGTAATTTTAAACAATTTAAAACAGCATTGGCATGTTACTCATTTATTCACTCCTACTACATAGATCAATATTTCAATCCAAACAAACAGTAACGAGTATCAGTTCTAAATTAAGTGTATTCCCAAGCATGTTACTGTATCATTTTGCTTATTTGCAGAATGTGCCATATGTATCCAATTAGCATGGTAAAATTAATACTGTATTATAACCTTATTAACTTTTCAGGCAGAACTATTATTGTGCAGATATTATGCAGTTGTACTTGACTATTTCCATATCCTATGGTGTCATCCAGTACTTTGATTTATGGAACATAAATAAATTCAAATTTAAATTCAAACCATTTTCTATTATGAACAATTTCATATCTAAAAGAGGTCTAACTTTTTCAATTAATTATGTCCCAGTAATGTAACACTGCATACTCTACTTGAGGAGGTCTAGATTGTGTATAAGGGGCGTAAAAAGCTTCCAGCTAATTCAGAATTTTGTCTCATATGGAGTTAAAATTCAATTCATCTTTCATCTACCCTTATATCTGGCATTCCTTGTAACTTTTCACCTACAGAATAGTGCGTTAAGGCTGTTATTCTTACACATAACAGAATAAAATATTATTCCGTCAGGTCAGATCACCGCTTACCACTGAGAGATGCAGTCGAGCAGCGACCTTACCCTGACCTTGTTGTCAATCCATTTGATATTGGGTGGACTGAAGTCTTACCCAGTGTTGGTCAGTTTGGCTCAACATTTGCCTGGTGGAGAGAGAAGCTTTTTTCAAAACAAAAGTATGCTTCTTCTGTCACTGAAGGAGCTCCAGAACCAGATGCCAACTTCAAGGCAGCACATTACTATGGAAATAAGGTCACAGGTAAGGAGTAAATTTGCAGTATACATAATAATTTAATTATGCAAGAAAGTGCTCACAATTAGCTATATGTCCAGTCAATAATACAGGATAATTCATAAATCCCTCTGGAACTTCTAAACTCAGCAGCACAGCAACCAAGACAGATACAGCAGAAAGGAGCATACAAATAGGTAGAAAATCTCTCCAAGTTTGTTTGGGTAATTGGCGCCTTGGCGTACTTATAGGTTTCGCCGCTAGGCGGCAGTCGTGACCGTCGTGACGAAACATGGCGAGGAGAGGGAATAACAAAAGTGTTCTGTCTTGGAATTTTCCAAAACTTGAGTCGATTATAACGGTGCAACGGTGGTTTCGGACCAAATACAACGTAGAACCAACTACGGACAAAACAATTTGAGAGTGGCACAAGAAATTCCAGCAGTGTAGCTGCCTGTATGAAGCGAAACTAACAGGATGGCCGGGGCCATGACCGAGACTGAGAGTGCGTGCAGCAGGTATAAAAAGGAATCGAAATTGAATACAGGAAGAAAGGACAAAATGAAAGTTTGAAAGTTTGTAAGAGACTTCCTATAGAATTGTTAACTGGCATTTCAGTAGACAATATAAAAACACACACTAAAACACAAGGTTACTCTCAAGATTAGGGGTGGCCCGTGTATAGGCACTGCGGTACTGCAGCACCACCAATTTCCACATGATATTATCGATAACATTTATATAATGAGTCCTTCTTTCTTTAATTCTTTGTTTATACTTGTACAATACAATATATAATCCTTAAGCTTAATGTCAGTAACCAAATCTTTGTATGGAACTGTGCACTTCTGGAGCAGCACCCCCACTAATTTTAGCTACGAGCCGCCACTGGTCAAGATTTAGGGGTGTGAATATAGATGGGGTATGAATTGATGAATGGATTTCTTGACCACTTACTCACACAACTCAGAACTGCAAGTAATACAGCATCATCGCTAATCTCCACACTTTACAGTTCACTACAGCACCTGATAAGCCTTTTCCAGCATTCTGTGTCTTAACCAGCCATTCCCTGCCATTGGCTTCTAACACTGGAGATTCTTCAGCTTCCTGTCCTCAAGTTCTCTTGTTACAGCCGACCATGCAGAACTTCCTCAAAGCCCAACTGCCGACTATCATCTCAACTATGGCTCCACCTCTTCTCAATTATCCTCTCAGATGGCCTGGGGTCCTTGTTTTACTGCCTTGGGTGAACCCAACAGAAAACACCTCTTTCAACATTTCATCTATGTTGTAGGCATATTTACCAATCCATTGTCTAGAAACAGCCATTTGTTGATCAGCCTATTGCATAGCAATGGCCGTACTCATTGTTTATTTTGACGTCTTTGCCTAGCAAATTCACCACATTACACTGATGATGGTGACGAAGACATTAATGATGATGGTGCTGATGTTGACAACAATGATGATGAATAGTAATGTAGTGTATATCTGTTATCAGGGAATCAGCCCTACCACGTGGTGTGCTATGTAGAAGGCTGGGCTGTATATCGTAAGGAACCTATGAGGTTCAGTTCCCTGGATTTAGACCCATTTGCTTGCACCCATTTGGTGTATGCATTTGCAACGTTGGATCCACACTCTTTCACCATTATGCCTCAGGATGAGGAGTACGATATTGTGAAAGGTAAGAAAGTCATAAAATATATTTTAAAATGGCATAATTAGAAAGTAATAAAATGATGAAAATATGAGTTGATATTTGACATTTTTTTGCAAGTTTAATTTAATTTGTGCAGGAGGATACCGGGCAATGGTGGGATTGAAACGTGTAAACCCACAACTCAAAGTTCTAATCTCTGTTGGTGGCTGGATAGAAGGAAGCCATAAGTTCTCACAGATGGCTAGCAGTGCTTTTGTACGTCGAGAATTCATCCGTTCTGTAATTCATTTCCTTGATCTTCATGGTTTTGATGGTCTTGATCTTGATTGGGAATATCCAGGTAGAATTTTATTATATGGAAACATAAATCTGCTTCAGTAGCATTTGCCTAACAAAATCTTTCACCATTTTGCTAAATGGTAAATATTAATCTTTTATGAACTTCTGGTTCAGTGTGACAGGTGTTTGTGCCATTCAGTTTACTATACAAAATATAGAAGTCAAGCAGATTTAAGTAACAGTTTAATGTAAATTACAAAAAAATACTTTAAAACAATGAAACAACAAAGAAAATTTGCCTAAGAAAAGACAAGAAGATGATTTGAAAATAATACTATTATTTCTCACAATTTTATTTATTTTTAATTTAAATATTTCTAACTTGTTCGTGATTCATATCAGTCTGAAAATAGTTATAATATACATGACAAGATATAATGTATATTACAGTGATAGAGCAATGATTATTTTGGGTTAATAAAAAATGTGGAAAAAGAATCAATTCTGTGTAACAAATGAAAACAAAAGTGTAGAAGGGGCTTTTGTAATCCACTTACAGCACTTCTATAGTTAAAGGAGAAATGTTGCATTTTTCTGTTCTTACACTTCTTACTATGTGTATCCCACATACAACATGGCTAATTGCCAAAGAGTTACATTGAATGAAGATGGGTTAAAAACTTTTGCATAGTGAGAATGGCATTTGTTGTGGGTTCTGTAGCATTATAATAGTATATGTTGATGGGAAAGTAGTGCTTTGAGAGTTCTAATAGTAACTTCAGCTGCACTGGCATTTGTGGTGCATGTTACTAATTTTACATGTTATGCCTCACACTGGCTAAACAAGTAATTCTTAATGTGGTCAAATATATTAAGTGAAAGAATTAATTCATGTTAAGAACAAATTAATTTACTTGAAAGGATATTAAATGAGTGATATCTGTATAAAGTAATAACCATGCATATCCCATTCTTTCCATTTTGTTTAATTTAACAGTGACTTTCTTTTGTCTAAATTAACTGCAAAATGTTATGTAATTGAGAAAAATTATCTTAACTCCCATTATATTTTGAAATGGAATCATCCTTTCCAGGGAGGCCATTTTCCTAAGTTATGGTTGATTAAGTTCAGTTGAAATTGTTGCATGTGCTGAGTAAGCTGTAGTAAGACATGGAACATTGTCTCATCTTCCAGAAAGTTAAAGTATAATACATTAAAACATAATGTGGGTTATGATGAAAAAAAATTAATTTTATTTTATAGCCCAGTGTAAACAAAATACATGGCAGATCATCGGCCTATAATAAATCCACTGAAGCAGGAAGTTTAAATGCATGGTGTATGTATTGCAGGAGCCGAGGACCTTGGAGGGAAACCATCAGACAAGGAGCACTTTTCACTTCTAACAGAAGAGTTATCTGAAGTATTTGCCCCTCGAGGATGGCTTCTCTCTGCAGCTGTGTCACCATCAAGGTTCAGAATGGAGGATGCCTATGATGTACATCGCTTGGCCCATAATCTAGATTTCATCAACTTGATGACATTTGACTTGCACGCAGAGAGAGATCGTTCAGCTGATCACCATGCTCCTCTTCTCCAGAGGAAACACGACACAGGTCTCAACGTATTCTACAGTGTTGTAAGTATGCCAGTGGACCACAGGTAGATACTTTTATCTTCTCTTGTATAAGTTATTCAGACTAGCAATCAGACACTTCTGATTCATTTTTACCTCTGTTAAATGCCTACATTCAGAAATTTCCACTATGGCACAGGATTTAGTATTTATTTTTGCAGGTAATGTTACAGTTGATAGATTACTATTATTTACAGTATCAATAGACAGTAGTTTATAGAACATTTAAAGAAAACTCACTAAATATTAATACCTCCGTGTTGGTAGAAAATATGGTTGAAGAAAATGGCTGTTAGCTAAAATATCTTCACTATGGCGGTAGTGTGATGAATTTTCAGCTTGTTTGAATGTGTTATGTTTATAGTACATGGATGAATGACATATAGATATTCTTTCTGGAGTCTTAGCTATTAGATATATTCACAGTTTATACCACATTCTAGTCTCTTATTCAATATCACATACTCCTTATCTTTCTATAACAGTAAAATAATTTCAATTATAAAAAAAAGTTTCTTCCTTGTTGATACCACCTCTACAGATGTGTATAGTTATAGCAGCTGCAGTCATCAATTTAATTTTAACGTTAAGTATTAATTCTCAATAACAGGACTACGCGGTTCGATACTGGCTGAAGAAAGGAATTCCACGAGAGAAGTTGATTGTTGGTATACCATTCTATGGCAGGTCATTCACTCTGGCAAATGCCTCTGTTACAACACCTCCCGCTCCAATTAAAGGCTTTGGGAAGGAAGGCTATTACACCCAGGAGCAGGGTTTCCTAGCTTACTTTGAAATATGTGAACTTCTGGAAGATAAAAGCTGGAAGAAAGAGGCAGATGATGTGGGCAGCCCTTACATTGTTAAAGGAGATCAGTGGATTGGTTATGATAACCGAGATAGTATTGCTACTAAGGTCAGTTTAATTAAATAATTTCTTGTAGCACACAAAGATGAAGAGCTTTTAAAATGGGGTCAATTTGAAAAAGTATCACTTTTAAGTCCCAAGTAGTATATAGGAGATATGTTTAAATTCCTAACAAAGCAGCGTGACTGATAACTGAGCTTTGTGATTTCTGTGTTAGTAAATGGTCTCTCATCAGAATTCATATTCTGTACCTTGCCACTGGTTAGGGTTCAGTAGTGGGCCCTTGTTAATGTGGTAATGAACTTTTGCTTACCATAAAAAAGCATGATGTTTTTTTACTATATAACTGACTGTTATCTTCTGCAGAAACTGTCTTCTCGATGGAATTATAAGTACCCTTAGATAATTTGTATATACACAAAGTTACCTTTGTTATTTTTATATGAATAGTGCATGGTGTATGTAGTGCATATAAATATGCAAAATTTACAGGTTGTTGAAGGAACCACTGCCAGTCACAGTAGCCGAGTGGTCTAAGGCACGCACCGTCTTCGCTCGCTCGGAAGCCAGGATTGTGGGTTCGAATCCCACTCAGGGCATGGATGTTTGTGTGCGTTTTTCTGTGTTTATCTACAGGTAGAGGCCTTGCGACGAGCTGATGACTTGCCCAAGGAGTCCTACCGAATGTGTAAGATCTAGTAAACCAAAGTGAAACGGAGAGTTTCATGGAGGTAGGCCTAGGCCCAAATTGGGGCTGTAGCACCACAGGGAAAAAAAAAAGGAACCACTAGTTTTATAATTCTTGAGATGAAACACCTTTGTTACAAGACATATCTCTATGCTTAATGGTTAATGATATTATACATAATGATTCTGGCAGTTATGGTGCCTGTAATTAAGAGTCTGAACCTCACTCAGAATGAAAAATATTCATCTATTAATGTGTCACACAAATGAACAGGAATCTGAAAGTCATCTCACACTTTCCTTCCAACAGACAGAAATAAATCTCAGTTACTAAGCTACTAGCTGCATAAGAACACATGATGTTCTCCTTTGTAGACCAGCATTAATAGTTCTTCAGATAAGTGCATATAAATTTTACAAATTCAATATGATGTGTTAAAAAAACAGACTTCAAATCCTATTCATATCTTTAAAAAAAGTGGTTCATTAAAAGAATTGTCATGCTTTGTAATTTAGGTGCTTGTCCTGAAACATTTGTAAAAGGTACATAATTAATATCATTAACTATTCTGACTTTCATCCAGTGCCATGTCACAGCTGTCAAAGTATTTGATACTTGATAAAGTAGACAGCCTCCCAAAACCATTAGATTATGTCAATATGTTAAGCCATAAAATCTGCCACATGAGGAGAAGAGATTAGCACTAGACTTTCAAAGTATCTTCATAACATATGACAAGATACTTCTTCAGGCAAAAGTCATGTCTGTTGGGAATGACAGTAGTTTGACAGTCTTTACTTTCTTTGTTCATTTAGATGGCTTACATAAAAAAGAATCGTCTTGGAGGAGCTATGGTATGGGCTGCAGATCTAGATGACTTTGAGGGCCATTATGGGGAAAAATGGCCATTGCTATCCACAGTGAGGAAATCTCTACTTGGTACAGTATTACTTATGTTTCAATGTATGCATGCTTTACAAATTATTAATATCAAAGTAAAATTTTATGTTAGAGAAAGAAATGGCAAAAATATGTTTATATCTTGAAGAGAAGTTTAAACTACAGCCTACAAGTAAAGAAAAATATTGAAACAATAATAAATAAATATATTCATCAAAGGAGGTCATTCATGAGCTCATACAGGACATTTGGCTTAATCACTGAGCATAATGAAAGCAAAAACCTACTCATAAACATTTGTGAGGTCTGCTTGTGGGAGGAAGTGTAGTATAGTGCCTCCACTTGTGATGTACAGTATACAAAATCAGGACATTTACCAAAGCAGAAGAATAATTATTGTAATCAGTATAATGTTCATTTCAATTACAGAATAATTGTTAACACCATCCAGTGTGATTCAGTTTGTATATATTTATTACCTTTATATGTTTTGGTCAGCTGACCATCTTCAGAAGGCATAAGATCAACATGTGCAGGAACTACTATCACAAAGTTCATAATATTTTGTAATAGTAGTTTCTGAACATGTTGATTTTATGCCTTCTGAAGATGGTCAGCTGACTGAAACATGTAAAGGCAATAAGTATCTACAAATTGAATCAAAGTGAACGGTGTTAAACATTATAATGTAATTTAGCTTACTAGAGTGACAGACCAGAATGATTAGAGTTAAGTTCATACTCAACTTTCTGTTATGTATTAATTTTAAGAAATTGTTGACTTTAAAGGGGAGAAGAATTTATAACTGATACATGAAGTATTCATTGTCATGGATTGGTTGCAGATATCAAATATAAAAAGTCGGTTTTTTTTTTCTGGATGTTTATCCTTATTTTAACTTAATTATTCTCCCATTTTCTTAAAGAAGAAAGTTTCCACTATGCTGCACTACTGCGTACTACCAGAAAAGAAACCATGCACAGAAGCATGAGTTGGTTCAGTGTACATTTGATCATATTTTACAAACATTATACACTCTTCTTACATTTGGGATGTGAATTGTAAGATTGGTGTGAAGCCTGATTTAGAACCGTGTGTTTATGTATAGTGAGAGACATTCCCTTTGCTTATATTTAAAATGTTGATAAAAGGTATGGTAAAGCTATCCCTGTAATAGACCGTGAAGGTCCATAGGGTTGTGAGATGTCGAGGCTCCCTCATTTTCTTGACAGTCGGCTCACAGATGGCAGTAAATTTGACAGCCTTACACCTGGCCGCCCTTTAACTCCCAGGAAGATTCCTGGTACTCATTTTTGTTAGAGGCTGAGTCGACCCAAGGGCCATAGTGCGGCTGGAAGGATTAAGTAAATTGAAAAAGAATCCAATGATATCAGGAACTGAATCCATGACCTTCCAGCTTCAAGTATAATGCCTCAACCAACTACACTACCATATAGCCATTTAAAATGTTAATAACCAGATAATTCTAATGCTGCTACTACACACCCCTGCAATATTGTTGCTGATGAAAATTTATATTTTAGTGGTAATGGAAAGTTGTTTTACAGTTCAAGGTGATAAGCAGCCAATCTCACAGTGGCCTGTATTCAACCCACCTCCAATACCAGGCACACCAGTGTCTATTGAGCCAGACCAGGTGAACTGCACTGGTCAGGGCTTTGTGAGAGATCCAAATAACTGCTCAATTTACTACCTATGTGAGTGGAAAATGAAGCACAGCTATATCTGCCCTGATGGCCTCCATTATGATTCATCTTTGAAGTTATGTAACTGGCCTCATATTGCTGGTTGTGACAACAAATTTCCTATTTCAGGAACAAACAAAGGGGCACAAGCAGGTATGATCTAAGCATAAAGTTGTTTAACAGTGATATTTTAGGCTATTTCTTTGGACTTCAGCCATCACTTTAGTGTTTAATATAAAGACCACAACATTTTGAAAATGGGTCTATTTCCATCTGTAGGTGGACAGGATATGAAGAGGTTCATATTCTGTTGCACCCCTTGATAGAGCTTATCCTGGTGACTATAGAAGTTTTCCTTGATACAAGAGTATCTACATGTAGGGGCTCAGCAGAATACAAATTTCCTTATTTCTTCTCCACCTGAAGATATAAATGCAGCCAATTTCTGAAATGCTATGGTTTTATATTAAAGACTAAGACAGTGGACAGAAAGTCCAAATAAGTGGCCTTAAGTAAGATAGTATGTTTACTTGAAGTACTCTAGAGTATACCTTGTCACCCCTGTATTAGTGAATTATCTTTCCACTGTTATCCCAGACAAATAAAAGTGATTTGTTAGTAAACAATTTCAGGTGTCAATGCAGATATAAATGGAAGAAATACGTGTATGTTCTTAATTTTTTAGTGTATTTGCATATTTGATTGTCTTATTTCTAAAAATTCCAGTAAATTCTCCTTACTGGAAAATATTATTTATGCTACTGGATTGATAATCCATGTTGTATAAAAACTACTAACATATTGTATATGTATTTATTTCCCAGTAACTTCAGAAATAAGCAACATCATACCTAAGGACATGTGTACCAGTAACGGTCTATATGCAGATCCAGCAAATTGTCGAAACTATTACTGGTGTCAGGTAAGTAATAGATGTATCTCTCGTAGGTAGCTGTCTAATAAAATTTCAAATATTCTTTCTAACCCTTAGCACTTCAAAGGAATTCCAGGACGTTGTTCATTGTCTGAAGTAGAGATAATGTCATCATTGTTCCAAAGGCTGGCTGTGCCTTCAGATAAAGTAAGGGGGTAGGGAATACCTACTCATGCAGACCTGTTAAAAAAGATAGTCTCTATAGAATTATGAACTTAACCTTTGATTTGACATGTACATAATATCACAAAGTCATAAATTATTATCATTTAGTTATTATCAGCTTCATTTTAATAATACTTTTAATAATAATAACTTTTAATAAGTTTGTCTATAATGTAATTCATTCATCTGCACTGTGCTGTGTCTGTAATTGGCCTTGCGGCTGTTGTCTCGGCACATTAATAATAAAGAATTGAATTGAATTTTCTACAGTGCTTCATGTGCCACTCTTTCCTTGCACTAATGGTCTGTGAATAGTCTAAAGTGCTGACAGCCATAATCAAATGTATATAGCATTGTTTTTATATATCTAAGTCACTTATCAATAAATTAATTATATGCTAATTACATATATAAACATATACTTGAAGACAATTCATTATTATAAATTCCTAGTCTCTGAGTAAAACTGGGGATAAATACCAAATATGGTTAACATATATCTTCAGTGTGTTGCATATATATCTGTATTTCTCTCTATCTTCAAAATTCATGATGGAAATTAACACAGAAAATTTTAAGATAAAGTAATTTTAAGATTGTGACACTTTAATATTGTGTACATACAGCAGTTGAATTTGAACAAGAAGCTCTATAAAATGTATGATGCCTGCTTCCTTTCAAATGCCTCAGTCTATATGGTGAGGCTAGTAGAAGCTACAAATTTATAATTATAATGAAATATCTATCCATTCTGAAGCATCAGTTTTAATAACATATATTTTCACCAAGTTAAATTTATCGCATGTAGTCTCCAACTAATTTTTAACACATGTTCCGCACAACATTTTTGCACATATGTTTAAAATCTATCCCCATAAAAATTTCAAATGTCCCGACCCAGTCACTCATTAGTTATCATCATCAAATGGAAAACATGATAGAAGATTTGTGTGGCTGCCATATCAATTTATTATTTCACATCCTGCAAACAAAATGAACACAATAAACAACGGATGTTTCTAAAAGACTAATACTGCATAATAATTTAGCACTCTACACTAAGTGACAGTTGTGTTGCTTCCCTTTTAAAAGTTTATACAATTGCCATGATAGTATTGTTGATATAGGGAAAGAAAAAACAAATGCTGAAATGGCCTTCAGTGACGAAATATGCATGTCAAGTTCATGAAAATCCATCCCTTGATACAAAATTTTGTTATGGGGATAGATATACACCCTGATGTGATGACATCATAAATATTAGATTAATTTACCTTTAAGCCTTATGTTGTATTCATTTTCTTTCACACAGGATGGCAAAGGATACCGTTTTTCATGTGGAATGGGTCAGTTTTTTGAACCTACAATGGGCCTCTGTTATTATGGCACCTCAACACGTTGCACTGAAACACCCAGTGCAGCTGCAAAAACAGTGGAAGACTTTAACATAGCTGTGAGCAGTTTCTTATACCCAGAAACTGTTGTGAATGAGGACAGTAATAATATTGGTTTCAACAGATACAATATTGAGCTTAGCAGTAAGCAGTTCCTTCCAGGTAAGTATACATGAAGATCTACCTGTATTTTTAGTTTTTCATGTAGAGCTGCAGGAAGGAATTATATTGAAGGTGACCACTGCAGTTCAGAATTAAATTTAAAATTGTGCTGCCTGTGAGTACAGTCTTATCACTCAGTTGTCAGGTCTTGAATGTTATAACTTCAAATATGCATGCAATATTGCCATCCACACATGTGAACAACCAAAAACCGAAGCCATGTTCTAAAATTCTAAACTGTATCCATACAAAATTGTTACATCTTAGTTTACTTTTTACTGGGAGCATATTTTTCAACATAAATCACAGAATTTTTAACATCTATATGAATTGATTGAAATCTGATCCATGCCTGACTCATTTCTAATGGGCTAAGAGATTATAATGCCATCGGAAAGGTGCAAAAGCTTCTGGATTTTCTACCTCATATTACACTTATGTATGTGCAATTTCAAAACTCAAACGTTAGGAAAATTCATTCTGTCATTTTAATGTTCATAATTATCTTGTTGGGGCACGCAGTAGCGTAGTTGGTCGAGGCACTATGCTAAAAGCTGGAAGGTTGTAGGTTTGAGTCCCAATGAGGTGGATTTTTTTCGATTCACCTAATCTTCCAGCTGCACTATGGCCCTGGGGTCGACTCAGCCTCTAACAGAAATGAGTACCAGGAATCTTCCTGGGGGCTAAAGGGCGACCAGCACTCACCATCTGTGAGCCAATTGTCTAGATAATGTGGGACCCTCAATGTCTCACAATCCTATGGGCCTCCGTGGCCTGTTACAGGGATAGCTTTACCTTTTAATTAGCTCATTATTAATCTCTGTAAGTCAGATTTGGTGGTTATGGCAAATTAAGTTCATAATAATTTAATAATGGAGTAAAAAAAATATTAAAATTGGATTTCTGAGTAAGATTGGTATACAGCAGTATGGACACCTCCCATTTGCAATCATCTAGTCTTAACACAAAGACAAAACAACTCCGTCCAGTGTGACTATTGAAGTTTTTACTACTTGAAAACTTAACACCCTTACATGTTTTGGTCCCTATAGACCATCATCAGAGGGACATCGATACTTCTTGGAAACTACCATCACAATGGGTGTTTTGAGTGTTAAAATACATATACATACAATGCTTGTAATGCACAATATCAATGTATCCAACTTTTCCACAACTACAGCAGCTTTCTTGGTATATTAAAGTTTTTAAAGTTTTTAAAACTTTAAAACAAATCTAGTCTTAAGATTTGTAGACAAGTAAGACTCAAATAATTTTCCTTGCAGCATTGTGATTTCATTGTTTCTCTCGTGATTCCAGAAGAAGACTACAAGATTGTATGCTACTTCACAAGCTGGGCCTTTTATCGAAAGGGTGATGCCAAGTTTGTCCCTGAACACATAGATTCCAGACTATGCACACACATTGTCTATGCATATGCTTCCCTTGACCCTGATGAGTTAGTTATGAAGCCATTTGATATTTGGGCAGACATAGAAAACAGTGAGTTGTTTAAATATATTTTGTGGTGTTTAAAAATTGAATTGTCACATGTATAACAAATTTTATTTCCATATTTCTACTTAGCTCTTGAAGACTGTTATCTTCTGAGATGTAACACCATATATTATTGCAGATATGTACCTAAACATTGTTTCTGTAGCCATACATTTCAACTTAATTCCTGAAGGTTATTATTTTTTGAGATGTATTACCATGTAGTCTCATAGATATCTACCAACATTTTGGAGGAATTTGTTGCCTTGGTAGAAGAGTAAGCCAAGTGTGAAAGAAATAGTGTAGATATAAGAAGAGGGAGAGAAAATTAGACACTTAAAAGTTTGTTTTCCAAGGATAGAGAGAATGGGAAAAGTAATAGCACTAAGTAAACCAAAGATAGACAGAAGGGGATCAGAATAGATAGACTAAGGATACAGCAGGTCTCTAAAAGACTGTGGGATGTCGCTGCCCTAAGAGACAACCACTTAAAAAGTTTGCGGGCCCTGAAAAGGCCCGTTTGTTCGGCTGTGCTTGCGCTAGTAGCGCTTGCTGCTTTGTAGCAGACCAGGTCTTCTTTATGGCTGTTCAGCTGGTCTGGCTGGCCGGTGATGTGGTGCTATGTGCGCCAGTAGGAACAGCTGCCTATGGGGTGGATTATGTGGATTATGACAGAGCCGTTCTCTAGGCATGGTTGCTGGAGAGCTATTGCTGCTTCGTGACGTCAGAGTAGCTGCGTTAGCTGTCTTTGTGAGGACGATCAAAGAACTCATGATAGCGAGCTTTGAGCTCCGCCTTTCATACCATGTTTGTTGGGCAGAGCTAAAGTTGCAGTAGCGATTGTGAGCACTGATTGGCTAGCGCACATGATGATCTACAGGTGGGCTGGACATCGAGTGCTGGCCACAATGTGACATTGACTTGGCTTGAGCAGTAGTTGGTTGCTGTCTGTTAGACAGACGAAGCTGCGTGTTAGTATGTGGAGGTTCCCACAGACCTATTTCAGGGATGGAGTGGATAGGCGAAAAGAAAGGGACGTTAACAGGAACTGATTTAAGGGATAGAGTTAGGGCCGAAATGATGAAAAAATGAAGAAGCAGGGTTAACTAAATAAGAAGTGCAAGGAGAATGGAAGAGGAAGGATGCCCTTAGAAGAGCAGTGTCCATGCACTTGAAGTGATAGCCTTCACCAAGCCTGATGGCCTGGTACAGGAACCAGAACACAGGAAATCTATAAAGGAAGCTTATTGCATTCTTTCAGAGAATAGATGTTAGGAGTGCATGACTTGGCTTCCATTACCCTTCTCATCTTTGTGTATAAGTGCATCCCAGAATTCTGATGGAACAACGTTTTTCCTTAAATATGTGCATGATTTTTTCTTCTCAGATTCATTAGAAAACGTATACCTTGTACAAACTTCCTATCTTCAACAGTCTTAGTTGAGTGGGAACATAATTTTCCTGTTCTGTGTGTATCTTTAATCACTCTTCTTATGACATGTTGCATCTTATGTATTGCATCTTACAATGTATTTTGTCCCATGTTATCCAGATTTCTACCAGCGTTTGACCTCTCTTCATGGTCCCAGGATACATGGGGCTGATGTGAAAGTCCTATTGGCTCTTGGTGGCTGGACTGATTCAACTGGGGATAAATATTCCCGTTTAGTGAGTGATGGTGGTACTAGAAGAAAGTTTGTGGCTAGTGTGGTCAGTTATCTGAGACGACACAATTTCAAAGGGCTTCACCTTGACTGGAATTACCCTAAATGCTGGCAGTCTAATTGTAACAAAGGACCTGCTTCAGATAAAGCTAACTTTGCCAAATTGATCCAGGCAAGTATTGAATTTTAAATTGAATAATTGGCTAAAAAAGGTGTAGTTGATTGTGAGTAGCTGTTATGTATACAAACCTGTTTAATATAATAAGTAATTCTAAAATGAGTTACTTCCATATGCGCAATACATGTGTGAAATGTCACTGTACAGAGTTTGAATAGATCAGATAACTGTATTCTACTGACATAATATCATTTAAACTAATATAATTCACTTTTTTCATAATTTAATAGAAACGCTTTTTTTTATTATAGCTAACAGACATTTCTAACCTAAGGAATAGAAATACAACAAAATCCAAAGACACTTGAATATTTTTATACATTCTTAGTATAATGTGCTTAATTAAAACGCGTTTATGGAACAGACATTTCTAACCTAAGGAATAGAAATGCAACAAAATCCAAAGACACTTGAATATTTTTATACATTCTTAGTATAATGTGCTTAATTAAAACGCGTTTATGGAACAGACATTTCTAACCTAAGGAATAGAAATGCAACAAAATCCAAAGAAAACTTGAATATTTTTATACATTCTTAGTATAATGTGCTTAAGTAAAACACATCTGTGGAAGTTTATCTACCCTTCTGTCTGTCTCCATTTTTCAAATTGAGAATTGTTGGATGGATTTGGATTAAATTTGATATGAACGTCGTGCCACTGGAAGCCACCTCAAACCTGTATGTTTTAACAGTATCAATGGTAACCACGATAGTCATAGTAACAGTACTAACCACAGTAATGATAGTAATCAAAATAGCCTTAGTAATGAATTGTTATGGTTTAGGAATTGTATGTACATATATTCCAACACAAATTATTTTGGAAAGGAATATGTGTCATACAACAAACAATATTTTTGAAAGTTAGTATGGTCTACGTGTGATATGCAAGTTTTAAAATGAATAAGGAAGCATCTACATTTTAATATTATGTTAATGGCATTATGAACATCTCTAGATTCTTGAGAAGAAGCTAGATAAAAGCTGAAATGAATGTTGCATTGAANCTTGTGCCATTTTATGGAAGTCTCTATTATATATATGTTCTTTCTTCTAAATAGAAACATTGCACAGTAGCCTATATTCCCCATGTTTTTATGAGCCAAATCACAAGTCAGAAATTAGTGCGTTCTTTCCATTTCATTACTTATTTCTTTCTTTATTATTCATTTCTGTGTTCCCTTCAGACATTTTGGAACAACAGTAAGTGAACAGAAAACAAAATTCAAGCAGGATTTTTATCCAGTAGATTCTATTTTTATTTCCACTTTAAGAATTTTCCATTTAATATCAGATGTAATTTTACATTAATACCCCCTTTATGTTCTTGTATTCATAAAAAAAATTCTGATAACCACGTTATTTTACATTTTAAATAGATTTACAGCATAATCCTGCAATAATTTTAAAGTCTAGGATTATATACTACCATACAGTGCTCTGAAGGTAATTGCAAACAGTAGCTTGGCCCTAAATAGGTAATAGCACAGAAATTTCAAATAACAATCAAAACTATTACTCATATATTTACAGGATATCAGTTTGTAGCTGGTAAAAGTTCATAATCTGTTCTGGTGTTTGCTGTTTGGCTGTATCTATGTCTGTTCAGTCCTTTTATATTTCCCTTCTGGAATATATGGTGACATAACTGCATACATGCACACAATTAAAGTTACGCATAATAAAGTATGTTTGCTGCAGGAACTAAGCAAGGAGTTCCAGAGACAACAGCCCCCATTGGTGCTGGCAGTTGCATTATCAGGCTACAAGGAGGTGATAGAACAAGCATATGACCTAGCTGTGATTGGACGCTATGCTGAGTTCATGTCTGTGATGACTTATGATTATCATGGAGCTTGGGAGAATATTTTGGGCCACGTCAGTCCTTTGTACTATCGGAGTGGTGATCAGTTCCCTCAGTACAACACGGTATGTTGACATTTACACAGAATTAATGTTATAGGTCATTGTCCTGAACTTATTTAATGTGAAATATCACTCACATTTTTATAGTATCAAGCATAGCTATAATTCCCTTTCAGTTTTGGTCATTCAGTTACACTTGCTTAACTTCATGTTGAACTTATGAGATGTTAACAGTTATTAAACACAGATTTAATAAAAATGACTTGTGCAAGATACACTGTCATGTCTAGGGCTACATTCTCTTAAAATGTTGTTCGCCTTAGTTTTATGCAAGTACACTCACAGCTAAGAAGGGAACACACACCACACGACACGGTTTACACAGAATATAAGAAAAATGACCCCCATAGTGGAAGAACCACACACAAGTTTTAATTATGACACATAAGATGAATAATCTTAACAAGTTTTAGTGTGTGTAAATTTATTATAGTTGACGAATACGCACGTTTTAAATACTTTTAAATAATTTTATAAGGGCAAGCAATGAAATAGATTAGCGTAATTAGGGCACCTGATGATGGCACTATGTTGCCGAAACATGTCGTGAAGTAACAGGTGAAACTGAGTGCACTACAAGACAGCAACTGTATACATATCATGGAAGAAAATCAGTGCAACAGGACGCTAAAATACAACATTAATACGTAGAAAGAGGATTTGCGATATTTGGTATGGCTGAATAATTCATCTCCTTTTTATAAACATCAGTATTGTCATTGTTGGTTTGGATCTGTATATATCAATATATTTTAATCAACTTTATATCGTAAATACATCTGTCTTGGTAGGTATTTATGCTAGGAAATCTTGTACTAATCATTTACATATTGTTTCACTTATCATTTACAAATTGCATATAAATTATGCTATTCATTTTAAATTTTCTATAACAACATTATGTTCAGTTTCATAGAATATTACTGTCCATTTCCAACTGAGTATGGCAATTCAACTCTGAATTTACAAATTTAAATAACTGAAGTAGAAATATTTATCCCTGTTTTTGTATCTTGCAGATGACATTTTCAGGAAAATACTGGGAAAGTTTGCGAATTATCAGTAATATTTATATTTTTAATCTATTTTTCTCTTTGGTATAGTGTCGAAATTTTCAGTAACAAATAATCACGCTGCATCAACTTTTGATCATAATATCATACCTATAAATATTGCAAAGAATATCTGTATTTGAAAACAAAATAAGTTGTGAGCAATAAATAGAATTAAAATATTTCTAGGTGGAGCAGATAATTGAGAAAATTAATTCATGTTGCTTCTGATTTCTATTTGGTATAAGTCTGGTTTTAATCTTGTCTGGAATATCAACTATTCTGACTGAGGCTTTTCATGCCTTTTCTAAGTCCATTAGGCTGGATGTCAGAATAGTACCTTGCAATTGACCACATCCACTTGCAAAACCATATGAAGTTCACCATACATGATAATCCTCTCATATAATGCGTTGTTAAAGAACATCCATAGTTGACGAATCATTACTAAATAACACACATGCCATCAAATTAAATGATATTTCAGCAAAATGAAGACTCTTTTATGTTAAAAATAGAATTATACCATGGAGCACTTAGTTCGACTGGGAGCTCCACGTCACAAACTGCTGGTTGGAATTCCATTTTATGGACAGAGCTTCACAATGGGATCTAGGGCCAACACAGAACCAGGGGCACCATCTAAAGGTCCAGGTAGTCCTGGCAAGTTCACCAATCAACCTGGAATGCTGGCATACTATGAGATTTGTGACACAGGTGAGCAAAATAAAAGTAATGTTATAACTGAATACTATATGTTTAAATTGTATAATATCTCTTTCTCTCCCCACTTTCCTTTTCCCTCTCCTGCCTCTCTCACAACTTTCTCTTTCTTGAAGAATCTAACAGGGCATACATCAAGCCCCAAGAATGCAGTTCACCTTCAGTATTCTAGAAACTGTTGTAGAATAAGGCAGGACAGAACTGTGTAAGGATTTTATGGAAAGAATGATGTGAAACTGACCAAGTAACTTCATTTTATCTGTAATAATACTTCTTATCTGATTAGTTGTCAATATTATTATCCATATTACTTATCACCATTATTTTATATTGTATATTGATTACTGTGATACTGTGTAAACTTTTCAAATTGTTTTATATTGCAAACATATTGACAACTGCTTGATTATAAGCAAGATGAGTTCATACTACTTGACGATTTCTATATCTGTTCGGTTGTTTAAACCATGTAAGGATTTTATGGAATGTGAATAAATGAATGAATGAATGAATGAATGAAAGCAACATGACATGTAAAATTTGAATGAATATGGGAGGTGAAATTCTCATGCAGAAAAGCAACAGTGATAAGCTTCTGGGCCTATTTGTAATCATGGACATACATAGTGTGGTCAAGACTATATTAATGTTGACCGATTCTGTGGGAGACATAAGAGT